TTTTGTTATGTCTAATTGTATCTTTAATTCATTTATTCACAAAAATGTAATACAATGGCATACATATTATCATTGCTTTAACTATTTCATTACTTAGTAAACCTTACTAAAGACCATAATTGCCCAACACACTAGAAAAGCAAGCTGTAGCATAAAAATCATTATAATCAGAATGACATTTACCATTGTTAATATAAAACATGTTTTAAGAAATAACTTGTTTTATACTGATAACATCCTTTTTAAACACACATATTTCCCTATAATGGTATTACAATTAGTTCTTAATCAGAGGTAAATAATGATGTCTATTACATACATTACTTTTCAGGTCACTATTTTTTTTCAATACAAACATTTTTATGGATGGATGGATGTTTGTTACTTTGTATGTTCTAAATAGCTTGACAGAACTAAGTGAAATTTATCACAAATGCCAAACATAGTATGAGGTCTTCAGACAGGAGGTTCCAGTAAGTTAAAATAATAAATGAAGGGAAACATCTTCCTTATTGCCCAATAACAAATAACAAAAGGGAATGGCGCCATGAACAGCTACTCATTGTCGATCAGATTAAAGAATAAGAAAAAAAATTCAATTAAAAAAACTGTATCAATAAATGTATCAAAATGCATAAGACTCCCAACTAATATACATCTCCTTGTTAACCTTTACAATTACATTTATAATTATACTAGCTCTCGCCCTTAACTTTATCCGCATGGAATTAAAAAATAAAGAGTGAGTAGTCAATGCATTCTTCCAAGCTATCCTCTATGCCTATGCCAAATTTCATAGAGATCTGTTTAGTCGTTTAGGCTACGACTCTAACAAACATCCATCCATCTAAACTTTCGCATTTATATTATTAGTTAGATTAAGTGAGATATATAAAAAGTCTTATAAGAAAATAATATACTGGATTAATAAACAGACAAACTATTTTTTTAAATACAATCATATAATATTAACTACATAACATACCGCTGAAAACTCCTCCGGATGACTTATATTTACAGGTCCACTTTGAGACTTTGGTGTACTTTGACTAGATATTATTTTATTCCTTTCTTTAATGTATTTAATTATGGCACTATCATTTTCTCCATCAGGCACTTTTTGATTACTTTTAGGTGTCAACATTTTGTGAGGTGTCACATTTTTGGAGACTTTTAGTCCTTCTGTTTTATTCAGATCTTCAATTCTGGCCACATCTGGTTGTATCACATTCAAAGACTCACTAAGAAGTTTATTGTCGGTTGAAACAAAATTCTCTGAGTAGTAGAGATTGTTTTTTGATGTATTCATTTGTAGACTATAGAATTCATATCCGTTTGTCGGATTTTGTATTCTTTCATCATCTATGCTAGATAAACTTAAATCTTTTTCATCTGCAGTTTTGTTTGCCTTCTTTGGTATTAAATCTGGATAGTTTTCTTCTGGACTACCCAATGTCATGAGTGGATGATTTGTTGTTAGAGTAAGTTTACTGTTTAACCTAGGTGGACTTATACCAAGATGTTTAGGCCTTGGACTCTCAGATGGTGTACTAAAAGTAAACTTAGACATTTTCAACACTAACCGAAAACACAACTTTTATTATTAAAATATCACCAACCTTCCTTTTATCATAACACTATTTATTTAAGAAATTTGTAAACTAGATAATACAATAACTACTTAGCATTTGAAGAAAATATGCTGAATGCAGAGTTAGAAACAAAAATCATTGGGTATGTTTACTAAAAAACAGCGCGACATTTTTAAAAATAAGGTAGAAGCAAAATAAACTGCACTTGTTCGAGTAACTGAAACTAACCAAATAACTTATTTAACATAATATTTAAAGGCGATTCTTTAAAATATTTTTTGTAAAGACATAGCTTACAATGGCAAGTTAACGACAGCGGCGTTTGATTTTGATTTGTTTGATTGACGTAACGCAATCGCTCGCCATTGTACAACAGCTGCGTTCTGTTCCCACGATTTTGCTTATGAAAGTATAATTTTTGCTTTTAATTAAATTCGTTTAAAATGTTATCCTTAATACATTGTTTGACTTCCAAAATGGTTAAATTAATACGAAATAGTGTATCATGAATTATTTAATATTAAAATCTAAACAGAACTGTTCACCGTCCATTTATACGTGTATAAGTGGAGCGTCTGTTTGTAATATCAAAAGAAAAATTCCAGATTTCGGGAGGATGTTTTTGCGTTTCTGATATCGAAAATCGCATTAATTTTTTTTCTCTCTCTGTCCGCAACCCACGTTTGTTTCGAGTAATCTCCGAAACGGCTGTGACGATTTTAACCGGAATTTCACTGAAGGGTAGCTGACATAGACGGGCATATTATAGGCTACTGTTTTATCTTAATATTTCGTGGACTAAGTAGCGGGCAATAGCTAGAATTAAATAATTAGAATGAAATAAAAACATTAATAAGTTATTTATTACAATCTTTATTGCTATACATGCTGCGACCGGGTTAATTACCAAAAAATAACTATAGAATAAAATATCGAAAGGGGTACCCTACAACATTGGGTAATCTTATAAATTCACCCTTTCTTCCCAGCCAGCAACCCTATGTGCTGGTGGGGTCTCCTTTCTTATTTTTTTTATTTTGCACTTCGCTCTTTTATCGATATGTTCGTCTGAAGTAACTAAAGATCAATATTGATATATGCGAAAACGTTATGTACTGTGAATCCACATATGAAGTTGTAAGAAACCGAAGTGCTGTTTTATTCTAGATACCTAGTTAGCATTAGTTTTTTTTCTAATAACCATAATTCCTATGGTATCAAGATCTTTCATGCAGCCTTTTGGAACCATATTAACTTTGCTCAGTGATCCGTCGATAGCCTATTCTTTTACAGCTTTACACTAGAGTTTCCTAGCCTTTTTTCTTGTCAAAATTCAAGTTACTTTTGGATTCTGGGGCTACTTTCCTTCTACCCTCGTCGAGTCTTCCGTGAACTCTAGGGGGTCCGCTGAATCACTGCTTTACAAAAAAGTACTAAGGAGATATGATGTTATGTATGTACAACTAAATACAAACCATATGGCTATTCAGCTTATAAGAAAAATGATGTCCTACCCAACGTTTAGAACACAATTTTAAACATTAATAAGCCCACCTCCGACATCAGGCCCTCGTAGCAAATCTTGCAATAGTATAAATTAATCAGTAAACTAAATAAAATTACAAACCTGGAGCAATAAACATTTATGACATAAACTAACGTCCGTATGTTTATTTAAATTTAAAAAAAAAAACAAAAGTGAGTAGCCTATGTGTTCTTATCCTCTACATCTATACCAAATTTCAGCAGTTTAGGCTACAAACACTAACAAACATCCATCCATCCATCCATCTAAGCTGTCGCATTTATAAAATTAGTAAGATTAAGGTGACGACATATTCGAGTCATTTTTATCACGATACGGAAAACTATAGAAAATGCATCTAGTTAAATAGATGCTGTAGGTTGCTTAATTAATTAACTTACCTAAATCGGAAAACGATACGTTAAAATTACTAATCCTCCGCTGAACTAAAAAGCAAAACAAGTAAATTGAATTGTAACTTTTTTTTCAAGCCGATTGAAACATGTTACGTAAAACTTAACAATCGACCTTACGACTGCATACAGCCGCATTTCTTGGAATATACATTTTGATTTCAAAACAATTCGCCATTGGCCACTTGTTGGTTTATTCCTTTATTATCAGCCTCAGTGATCAAACGGTAGGATTTAATTATTTTTTAAAAGTTATCGGATAAAATAGGTATGTTTTTAATAATATTTTATATTTTTGTAAATTGTTTATTCATTGATTGTTAAGCTTGTGGATTGTTTAATAAACCCTAATGTTTTATTTCGTAAAGCATTGATTCAGTGTCAATTTGTAATACAATATAAGATTTGAAAGATTAAAAATAGCTTACTGTTTTACCTATAACACTTCATTTGTTTAGATCTACTCAGGAAGCGTGTAAAAGATTCACATAACATTTCAGTTTCCTTTTACAACTTCTGGTGTCGCTTTTCTTATGTTTTCTAAATACTGTCTGCCTTAAAATAGTATTTTAGGCCGCGGAAGAGCGTTATAATTCAGTTGGTGTTTGATTTTTCGAACGGACATCAACGTCTTCACTCTAATATATATTTTTTTAATTCTAGGTTTTATTCTTTTTTTAAAAATGCAATTTTTTGCATTAATATACTTAACGTATTTAATAGTACCAGGAATACACACCGAAGACGTCAGTTGTAAGTAAAAAATATTTTATTTTATATTTTTTTTAATTAATACTAATTTCTGTACTAAAATACTAAATACTACTAACTTCTGTGTGTGTTATACCTATATTTATGTAATTTTAATGTAACGGGGAGCCTAAAACGCTAAAACAACGTGTCAATAGAATTCTGTGTTGCATAAGATTACTGTCAGTCGTACCCGTTTCTTTTTTTTAAATTAATCACTAGTAACTATTTTAACAGATCAAGCGTGTGTTGACAAGTATTCTAGAAAAGGCTACCAGCCCTGGCAGGAATGGTCCGATCATTACACATGTCATCGCTACAGATGTGAAATTAGAGACGGGAAATATTTCATTGCAGCTGTTGGGTAATATTCACTTAATTATTCATTGTTTTAAGCGTATTCATGGCATAAGTAGAAACAGTGATTGAATTTCAGAAACAAGTAATTTGAGTAGCGAAATTGTGCTTAAAATAGATCGATGTAATGTATCCGCAAGTTAATTTCTTGTGTAATTTCAACATAAAAAAATATGAACATTGTTTTTTCGAAATTCGAAACACGTAGGAAAATTAAATCTCTGCCCACTTTTTTTAATTTAAGAACAATCGGTTCTCAAACTGTGTAATAATTTAATATAGTTTTTTCTTTTATGAGAAATAGCTCAATGTTTTTAAACTTTTTAGGTGCCGAAAACCGAAAATTCCAGAAAATGCTTTAGAATGTCATGAGTACATTGAAGATGAAAACGTTGGTATGTTTACAGTTTTTAATTATTTACACCTCTACATATATAATTGTAAACTGACGTTTATAAAATAGCATAGGTATTATCAGTATTTCTATCGTTAGATCGTTGAGGAAGCCCAAAACGAAAATTTGAGTATCCGAACCTATTGTTTAAGGCCTTTTTCCACTAAGGTAGTAGTCGCGCGACTTTATCCGCGCTTTATTATATGGCAAAATGAAAATTTGTTTTTTATGAATTTCCTTACAGAAGACAGGAGTGTATTATATAAGAGTAAGGGTAGCGAAGATACGAGATATTTTTTCATAGAAAGTTAAATTTTCAGAGTTCCCAACGTGTTGCGCGAGATTGCGATGTGTTGTTGAAGTAAATGGCGAGAGAATAGTCCAGACCAGAGGACAGCCAGGGGAACTGTTCCCTGACAAGTGAGTGCGACAAACCACTTTAGGATATGTTGGCTTTAAATCTATTTAAAGAACTAAGTGTTAAAATCAAGTGCTCTAATTCAACGGAATCGAGACACGACAATAATAACACAAAAACATTCTTGTACAAATGATATCTAAAGCAGCAGTGTTACTTCAATAGGGATGTGGACTCATGTATCGTATACAAATTATGTTTTACACATTAGTTTTAAATTAAATACAATCTAATAAAACTGAGTTATTTCTTACCCATTATTAAGTGACTGTGAACTTCCGATCAGTGCGCGATCGCGTCGCAGTCGTGAACGGTGAAGGTAGTTTGGAGGCGTGCACCGCGCGGTTAGCTATTTAAAAGTCACAGTGCAACAAGAGTTTATTAACGTGCTATGGGACAACACGACAATATGAACGTATTGCGACGTTGACGGCAACTGAAGGCGTTTTAGTAGGAGTTTTATAATTATTTCTCTCAACGTATCTTCTGCCTATCAGATTGAACTATAACAATAGAACATATTTCAAAAACCAGTCTACATCTCTAATTCTGATTGCACTTCACAGTAACGATTTAATAGACGTACTTTGGGTCATAAAGCAGACTTTAAAATTCCACCTGTTATATCTATTTACCTGTTTTAAAAACCAAATTTCCATTGCACGTTTTTCGGTTGATAATAACTTTTTATTGTATCTGTGAGTTGTGGATATGTGCAAATGTAATAAATTTGCAGACCTTGGAAGGGCCAACAGAACGAGCCTAACCCGGCGGTGGTGGGCATGGGCAGCATTCAGCAGAACACGGTGGGCGGCGAGGCACAAACGCAGTCCGCGCCGGGAATATTCAACAGCAGAGGCGCAGGCAAGCAAAGTACGGTGTTATTGACCATTGAGGGAATTGATTATTTTATTAAAAAAAACAATTTATCGATTCGATTCAATGGGTAATAATATCTTAATTTAATATGTGTTTTTTTTGTAGCTTAATTGCCGATTCTATGGCCTTAACCCACTTATGGGATTGGCGCACGGGGTTTTATAAAAATTCATTTTTACGGTCGGCCGCATACCCGTCACCAATCCTGCTTAGGAGGGTCATCTCATGGCTTAATATCAATTGATTATTTCTCTATATTATAGCAAAATTATTTCACTGTAGAGCACAAAAGTTTGACAAGCACATGTAAAGCTTTTATAGTTTTGCCATATAAATTGTATAGAACTGCTTATTTTTTTTTAAGTTTATATATCGAGAAATAGTTTAACATTGATATTTTATTAATTTAGCCAACGATATTCCCGACAGCGGATGGCAACGATATTAACGGACGTCGCTTCGTGGACCCCTACCCCAGTCAGCAGATGCAAGAAAACCCACGAAGGAAGAGGTCGACCGTGTACCCGATATTTGATAAAAATATGGTACGGGAATCAAACGCGTACCAACCTCATCAAGTTAAATTACACGGGTATTCCGCAGAGAAATACACCTCGTATTTCACGAATAATATAAAAAGTCTAGCTAACTCGAAACATCATTTCAATCAAAATTAATATGGTTTTCTTTAATATTGTCCTAGAAGACAGGCGATATCAAGGAATAATTTTGACTATATAATATACGACTAACCAGGACATATCGGATTGTAATTTCTCTTGTATCATTGTTATTGCTTAATGAACTTTGTTACTTTTGATAAAAACTAATTAATATAATTTGTTTGTTCTAGAATTTTGTATTTTTATTTTACAACTGAATTACCCTATATATCAGTAAGATAGATTGGTGACATCGATAAGGAATACGAAATGAGGAGCACCAACGAGCAATTTGCATAGATGTATGCAGCTGTACTAAAAGACAAAGGGTTACCAGAGTCCTGAAAATGAACCTGTAATCTAGGGTGCGAGTGAGACATACGACATCATCTTCTGCCAATCCTTATCACAATCTATGTAAGGTTTTTGTTCTTGAGATCGATCTATTAAGCAAACCATCCGATCCTTCCTACGCCTACGGAAGACGGATTTATCGAAGTAGGTTACCGATGAATCCCTCCTCCTTCATATTAAAAGTTCGCAATGAAAACTCAGGGCTAGGTAGCACAAATGCTTGAAACATATCTGGTAATTGAGAGCATAAAGGTAATCAGGTATATATGTAGAAACAGTAAAGGTAAACTTTTTTATACGAGAAGGGGGCAAACGAGCGGCGGAAATACAGATGTGGTCAACGATGCCTATGGACATCCGCAACACCAGGAACTACAGATGCGTTGTCGGAGTTTGAGAAAAACGAGCTTGGCTAAGTATCTTTTTTAGTCTACGTACCCAATCTTTTCGGTCACAAAGACATCTTGGTTTATCGTTCTGAATTAACAGTATTAGTAGTATTATTTTATAAAGTAAGCGTATACTTACATAAATAAAATAATACAGTACCTTTATGCACCTGTAAAAATATCTTGCATGTGAGTAAAATCAATACAATGACATTCTAAACATGTAAGGAATCTCCACGCAGAGGACATGTTATTGTTTTGACTATACGCAGGTCGACTATTTCTCTTACTTTCTCGGTGCATATTTTAAAAATACGAAATGTTAAACATATCATCAGCTACTCGCTAATATGTTATTGAACAAGAAAAGAACATTGGTTAATATACAAATGGCATGTCTAAAATTATTTAACATCTCGTTTCCAAAGTTGGCACTTAATACATAATGTAATTAGAACAGCTAGACTAACATTGTTGATATAAGATAGAACGCATGTTTTAGACTTGAGTGTCCGGGATGCCATTGAAGCTTTGGATATTGAAGTTGTAGACTCCAGGTGACTGGTTTTTATCTGATAGATGGATTGCAAAAAATCTAAAATAAGAAATACGAAACAATTTGATTTTACAACTGTGGATAAGACAAGGGCGGATCCAGCTTTGGCGCCAGGGGTGGGTCACATAGTCGTGGTCAAGTCAAGAGCTTGACAAAATATGTAAATGTATTTTGTCAAGCTCCTGACCAACCACTACAGTGGGGGTCATAACCCCAATGACCTCCCTCTTGGATCCGCCGTTGGGATAAGATTAACTTAATATTATTTAATTATCTCATATTAATTACTGTGGTGATATTCTTTGCTGCATACTGTTTTTTAACATGTTCTTGATTTGAACTTTACATAATAGATGGCGCTACATTAAACATGTTACTGACACTTTTGACATGTGTCAGTTGATGTCGGATGCATTCAAAACTGTGAACAAGGACAAGGTGAAGAATTTGAATTTATGACGAGATAAAATTGAGATTTAACTAAAGGTTACATTCGTCGTTAAAAGTTAAATAAACTACTATTATTAAATTTATATTTGTAACATTTCATACGATCTGTGAAATTAAATATTAATTCGATAAAATAAAAGTTTCCGAATGTACCTGAAATATGCGAATGTCGGATCGGCCATTGTAATTGAACTCAAAGAAAACTCTGAATTTTATTAAGCCGTCCGCTTTCGTGTCACGTAGTGTTGGTGTCTTTTAATTTTTAGAGCCAGTGTATCAATAAAAATCTACACTGTGGCTAAGGTGACACCATACCCGAGTATGTCTTATTCCGGAAGGAATAAATTTGAGGTAAGTCTAATTGATTTTCTGATTTGTTTGTTTTCGTTTTGATTAAAACAGCTGACACCGAAGTGCGCTACACGAACCAAGGGCCTACTGCGAGAACAAAGAAGTTTCATTTTAATTCTACTGAATAATTCTTCCATTTACTTGGAATTTATTGCTACAACTAAAGAATTTTAGATAAATAATTTGCAAAGCGAGAATGGTAAATATTACTACGAATCTATTTTTAAAGTTTTGCTTGTATTAATCTTTCCCGGTATCCAAAGTACAGCGCTTTATGTTTATAGCGTTTCCATACGTTTTAATGTTTATTTAAAACATTTTTGCTGTAGAATGCCTAAGTACGCGTTATTTCTTTGTTACTTAGTGTATTGACCTCAGTTTAAACGTGCGACCAACTCGCTTAATGTCTAATACCGTTACGTAGATCTGAAAATCTTAATGAGCGCCTCTAAATTACCTTTTTGTTAAATTGTATTTGATTAATCGTTTAAAATTAATTTAACGTAAAATTTTAATTCATAATTATTACAAATCTAAGATTTTTATTTTACTAATGCCTTTTTGATATTATTAAAAACATTGTTTTGATTAAACAAATTTGTTTGTTTATTTTCTACATGTCTTGTTAAATATTTCTGTGATTTTGAATATTTTTTCTGTTAACATCATTGACTTTAAAAAGTTAAATTGATACCAAATTATGTGAAAATATCATTATCAGCAGCAGAGGCACTACAGCAGCAGGTGCGCCTGCGCAGTAAACTTCTCCATCTTTGTCTATTTAGGGCCTTTTGCTTCCAGCCCTTGACACTGATATTCTTAAGACAAATATGTTCAGATATTATGTGGTAATGTGGTTGCCACAATAACAGTACATAGTAACAGTAGCATTAAGCATATTTTGTGATTTAAGTAAGTTGCAGAATCCAATATTGTACTGTTTGTTCACCCCTAACTTGATCCCACCAGTAGGATAATTTGAGCTGACAACATATTTCCAATAGTGTGTTATTTACAGATAGCTAGATTTTCCGTTGAAGATGAGAATCATATTAACAGAAAACTGCCAAAGGAGTTACTGCTCAGGATACTGTCATACCTGGATGTGGTATCACTCTGCCGCTGCGCTCAGGTAACTTTGAACATTATTTACAAATACTTTTATCAGAATAAAATCACAATAAAGTTGTTATTGTCACTTCTTATCAGTTAATTATATATTATAGATAAAAGAATAATATTTGTTTTTATTTGTCTTCCTCAAAGTGTTTTTTTTACATGATTTTTTTATTAACAAATTCTTGAGTATTAGCATATTAATATAATGTAATCAAATCTTCTTTTTATTGTTTAGTGTAATCTATTTCTTTTCTTATACTATAGGTATCAAAACTATGGAATATTCTTGCATTAGATGGTTCCAACTGGCAGAGGATAGATTTATTTGACTTCCAAAGAGATGTGGAGGTAAATGAACACACTTTATATCCTATTTATGCATGTTTTTAATTAATTTATCTTTAAAAGACATTTTTACAGTAGGTTTCGTATCATCGACCGTATAAATTAACGACCATATTACGTATCAACGTAATATGGTCGTTAATTGATCACTAGAGTTTCACTAAGGGATTATTTTACTTTTACTTAATGACTTTCAGTATGACATTTGGGACTTGAGAATTATTTTTTTAGGGTCCAGTGATTGAAAACATATCTCGAAGATGTGGTGGTTTTCTCCGGCAGCTATCATTACGAGGATGCGAAAGTATTGCGGATGGCTCTATGAAGACACTTGCACAGGTACTAGACAGAGAACACATTTGTATTATAATATTTTTATTGTCTTTTCAAAGTTAATGTAAAGGATGGTATATTCATTTATAGAGTTTAAAAAATAAATAAATATATAGAGTGTCTGTTAATTGTGTATCGAAAAAAAGAATCATTATTAATTACAACATATTCTGATAAATACAATAAATTAGGTGGTCAAGTGGAAACCAGCACTGTACAGGTGTTTTTATTTTTTCAGTCCTGTCCAAACATAGAAGATTTAAATCTGAACAAATGCAAGAAATTGTCAGATCAAACTTGTCAAGCTTTAGGCAGGAGGTGTAGTAAATTACAAAGGTAAATTTATCATTAGAAAAAACACTTTTTTTTGGATAAATTTAATTTAAGAATATGAGTTGTTCTGTAATTTTCTGATAAATATTTATTTATTGTTGTAAATTTCATATCATTTTAAACTGTAAATTTTCGTTACAGAATCAACCTTGATTCCTGTCCGAGTATAACAGATATATCTTTAAAAGCGCTTTCAGATGGTTGTCCTGTAAGTCAACTTTAGATTAAATACCAAAAAACACTAATATCCCTTTGTAATTATAAACATATTTGATTTGAATGTATTTATCAACATAAAACAAGTATAAAGGGAGGGCCTTAGTGCCCTCATTGTGATTGTCAAAACAACTTAAAAAAATTTAACACCTATGTGACTATGGCCATATTTTTTTTCAATAAATTACCTTTTGACTGAACTATCACACATCTGTTGTGCGAAACTCGATTATTTCGCAGCAAATACAACTGTTTAGTTGCCCAACTAAAAATGGAGTAGTGTGCGCACTTATATAAACTCATAGGAATTAAAGCATGGCAAAACAGTTGTGCGATAGTTTAGTCAAAAGAGTGCGCGCACTTTTGATTTGACACATGTACTATTATATTTAATTTTTTGCAGTTATTGACCCATGTGAATGTGTCATGGTGTCAATCAATAACAGACAATGGTGTGGAGGCATTGGCCCATGGCTGTCCTAAACTGAAAAGCTTCATTTGTAGAGGTAAGTTATCTTAAACATATCCAGGTAAACGGTAAAAAATATAAAAGAATTGTTCCCTCCATTTTTTATCTTATATAATTGTGTAGTTTTTTTTTTATATGGTTACATTTTGCATGATAGGCGACGCCAAAGCGGGACAGTGCCCACTAGATGGCATACTCGTCAGCCCATGGTCTAACAATTACAATTAACTAGCTGTTGCTCGCGACATCGTCCGCGTGAAATTTATAAATTTGTAAAAAAACATAGCTTATGTTAATTACAGATTAATTACCTTTCTAATGTTAAAAAACTTTTTTAATTCAGCCCAGTAGTTTTTATGTGATTCGAATATATACAAAAATACAACTCATTCCTCTTTATAATATTAGTACCAAGTACCTATAGATTTTTTTTTAAATAGTTTTATTTATTATTTTTATTATTTACTTTTTTTTTATTATTCTACAAGTTTTGATTGTCATGATATTGTATGTTTGCAGGCTGCAAGAATGTAAACGACAAGGCGGTGTCGAGCCTGGCCACTCACTGTCCTGACTTGGAAGCTCTAAATATACAGGGCTGTGATGTAAGTTTTATTCATGCTTTTTACCTATTAAAACAGCTGTGTGCATGCAATATTTTTTTTCATATAGAATTCTATACTAATATATATGGAACCGTAAACACACACTTCTTAGTTATGAAGGATGTCAGCAATCACAGAATATTCGTGAATAATTATTTTTTTTTATTCAAATGCCCTAGAGTTACAACACGCTTTAGGATACATATTTTCTCGATATTAAACTTAAGGGGTAAATAAGTTTGTATAAACTATCTTGTGGGAAAGGGACAAAAACTACCATGCTACCAATAGCAGTAAAGAAGCAAGGTTGCCATGGTTACTCAAACAATTTGTAGAATTAGTTGTTATTGAAGCGTTTGCACTTTGATTAATTTGGATTTGATTTATTCATTGTAATGGTCCAAATTTGCGCCGTTATGAAGTTTATTTACAGTCGTTTATTTCATATTTTCTTTAGTATGAATGTATATGGTACAATGGCGGATCTAGG